CCGCGGGTACCGGACCAACGTCTTCGCCTTCACCGCCGGGAAGGAAACGCTCCGGCCGGAACTCGTTGGGATCCGTCCATTGCCTGCTGTCCTTCCCGATGTCCCCTAGCATGAACTGCACCCGCATGCCGCCAGCCGGTACGGTTGCTGTGCCAACCACCGCGCCCTCGGAACGGACCTCGCGCATGACCAGCCGGAATGGCGGGTGCAGCCGGAGGCCTTCGAGCACGACGGCGTGCAGGTACGTCGTCGACCTGCCGGCAGGGCACTTGTCCGAGACGGAGCCATCGTCAGCATCACCACCACCATGACCATGGTTCCCGGCGATGACCTCACGGCGTAGCTTTGCCTGGATCTCCGGCTGGTTGACGAGATGGGCGAGCGGTCACGACCCCCTCCGCGACAACTAAGAACTCCACGACGAGGCTCACCATCTCGCCCTCCGTGAGCGCACGCTTGTCCCCGGGATCGTCTTCGTCGGGGATGCTACGGTTGCCGATGAGCGAGTCTAGGTAAGGTCGTGGGACGCCGCCACTGTCGCCGGCGCCATCATGCTGCCCAGTCCTTTGACGACGGCGCCTCGCCGCCTCGATGAGGGGGACGAACAGCGCGGCCTGCTGACTGCGGAAGGCGAGGAACCGTCGCCACTTCCTCCAGTGCCAGAGTCTCGCCATGGTTGAGTGGGCGAAGACCTTGGCTTCCGCGATGGCGGGAGTGAACTCCAGCATCATGCGTTCCATGTAACGCACGTGGCGCGCGTCGACGTCGTCGCCGAAGCAAACGCGCGCGAGCATGGAGAACACCGCGGGGTAGAGTTTGTGACGGATGGCCACGTCGCCGGCGCCGAGGCCGGCGATGTGGGCGTCCACGGCATCCTGCTGGAGCGGAGCCAGGAGGCCTTGCCGCCAGGGCTGGAGCATCGCGGCGTTGAGGCTAGACCGGAGCGCGCGCCAGTGGGGGCCGTAGGGCACCGTGGTGAGCCCATGGCTCTGGCTGCGGCGGCGCCGGCCTGTGATCAGCGGCACGGGGAAGGGCGTGGCCGGGCGGTTAGAGAACACGTCGGCCTGCTCAATGAGCGCCTGGCGAGCGACGGCGGCGTCGCGGATTTTAATGGTTGGCTGCCGGAGGGAGCGTGCGGTGCTCCTCCGCCGCCGGTACTGAGCAAGGGAAACGATAATAATGGCCAGGATGAAGCTAAGCAGCTGAATTGCTTCCATGGCTTCTAGACTCAACTTAACTATGCATGCAATGCAAAGGTTAAATTTATATAAAACACTAGATAACCGCGCATTATATATATATATATATATATATATATATATATATATATATATATATATATATATATATATATATATATATATATATATAGTGTGTGTGTGTGTGTGTGTGGAGAGGCAGCCGGCTGTTTGTTATTCTGTGTCCGGCTGTTTTTATTAAACATGATGTTACAACATTTCGTTTGTAAACAATTATCACTCTTCACCAAGCACAAACATTTATAATATAATTCAAGTTTTGATGTGAAATAGCTCATAACATAACAACCATGTTTATTATGACTATTTTACCATAACTTGTCTATGATACGGTTAAGATTTTTTTATTGATAAAGGAAGGATTTTATTAATTCACAATTATTAAATCGAGTTGATACATGATATGCTTAAGATAGTTTTGCAGTCCTGTAGGGATCAAAATTATCCTAAAATTCCATCATAAGCGAATAATTAGATCACAAAGTCATTTCACACTCTATGCGAAGTCAGAAATCGTACTATATAAATTATAAACTGAAAAATACATATGGCCATGAAATACATGTGCGACGATATCGAACACATTCCACTCTTGCTGCTTCCTTGGTTTCTGAATCGTAAACTTTTCGTGATATATATCAGTGAAAAGAGCCCACTCGTTTTGTTAAGTTTTAGCATGGATGGGAAGTAAAGTTTTGCTTACAATCATCGGCCCTAAATTCATTTGCTTAGAAAAATCCAAATTTCAAATGCTAGTATTTGCTCATGCCTTTTCCAATGTGAAATATGTGAGGCTACAAAACACTTCCGTTGAGTTTTAACGGTCTCATGCCTCTGTCATGTGGGACCAGGCATGGAAAATGTCTAGGCTGTCCTTCTCACTTCCACCTCTCCCCACCTCTCTGTCATGTGCGACGACGGGGCGGAGCTCGCCCGCGCGCCGCCAGCGGTGGCCAGGGCGGGACGAGGTGGCGGCGGCAGGCCGGCCGGGTGGACTTGCGGCAGCCGAGCACGGGAAGCACGGCGCTGGTGGCGACTTCCAAGGGACGCGAGCAGGGGCCAGGTGGGCAGAGGGTGCCGTGGAGGGGCTCACCGGCCGGCTCGGCGTCTAAGTGCAGCGGCGGCGCACAGCCCCGTGCGCAGGTGGCCGTGGGGAAACTCCGCAGGGACAGCAGAGGTGCACGCTCCCTCCATCCCATCTGAATGGAACCTCGATTGGCCTTCTGAACCTTAGTTTAGGATTCAATTCCATTGGATTCTACCAGGTCAGTCCTCTTATTCATTTTTTTCCTTGATTGAATTGAAAATGAAGGCAGCGCATGCTCAACTTCAGTATGTTCTACAGATGACAAAGTTGGCCATAATAAACTTCACTATTGGAGACATATTCCTCAAGAAAAAATTCAGGTTAGTTAGAAAAATCATGAGTGGTGCTGCCTATCTACTGGATGTTCTGATTGTATTCTGTTCAGACCAAAACAGTGTATAAAATTAGGCACTGGGCAATACAACATTCTCCACTGTACAACAAAGATTTCCTGCCGCCTTTTTTTTTTCTTTGCATTAGGGTGATTAGAATTTTTTTTTTCTAAAACTACACTAACTAGAACAGTGGATAAATTAAAAGGATGCTTAACTTGTTTATTTTTTATTGGTCCCAGTCAGTATCATTTTGTTTCAGGAAACTAGGCTGGTTCCTTTCATTTATCGTTATGATAATATGATTTGCTATATGCAGTGAGACAATCAAGTTTCTCTGCTGGTCTTGCTACTTGGAGTTGGTATTGCTTCAGTTACCAACCTCAAGTTAAATTGCTTCAGGTCTATTCTTTCTGGCATCGCCATCGCCGCGACTTGTGTTGGCCAAATTGTATCCTACATTTGAAATATTTCTGTTCATCATTCAGGGTGCACATTCTGCATGTCTCATCGTCATGTCCATTAATTTCCAACATAATCTATGATTGCTATGGTGTATCCTTGTTAGTTGAATGAAGCTCACAAACAGGAAAGCAGCTGCTTGAAGTGGATAGCCAGTTGCTCTGTCTCAACCTTCCAGGTCTCAATGGCAGGAACTACAGCCGTAGGAGTCCGAAGTCTGAATTTACTCCACGGTGGACCAAAAGAGGCTTTCGGTGTGATCGAATGCTGGGTGAGTGGGTGTAGCAGGCTTGTTTCAGGTTTTCGTAAACTCGCAAAACATTTTGTTCCGAATTTGTTCAGCTTATTTCTCATTCATTTATTTGGATTGCTTCCAGTATCAAGTATCGTCTACAGTAATACATTTGAGTGATCAGTTGGCTAATTTGTTGGCTCAGTGACTGCGTGTAATACTCCATGAGTCCATGACAGCCAGTTACTAGAAAATCCCTGTGTACAACCATCGCCAATCAGTTTGGCGCCAAAACACAGAGCCAGGGAGTGGCACTAGAGGAAAACACAACTTTCAGCAAGGTACTCTAGTCTGAGTGCAGTTCTGACTTTTCTCAGCTCCGTTTGACACCGTTAGAGGCAAATGTGGACGGAGTGGCGTGGAGGGCAAAAAAGTTCAGACCAATGACACCTGTGTCCGCTCAACTTTTTTAATGGTACTTATGGAATTTGAAACTTTTATAATGGTACATAGAGAAAAGACTCAAATTTATACCATTATGCTTATCATTGTGCTGTACAGTTACAGTGAGAAAATGTAGCAATAATGTAGCAAAGTCAAAGCAGGATGCGTCCTTCACCAGAGGGGACCCACAGACAGCAGCAGACTAAACCGGCTGGGGGATGGCCACAGCCACAGGCATTGCAAAAGTGTACTACCAGTGAAATAACAACTGCTGATTGATGATGGTTGCGGAAAAGGTTAGCACCTGTATATTTTCATTTTCTGTTAAATTGGTCAGCTAGTCTAAAATTTCATTTACGAGAGATTTTTAGCTGTACTTGTATCCACTTTAGGTCTTATTTGGTCACTATCATATTCACCTCAACCTACATGTATTGAGGTAGATTGAGATATAAAAGTAACTAATTTTTATCTCAATTCACTTTAACACACATGGATTGAAGTGAATACGAGTGTATCTAAACAAGCCTACATTCATGTGTGTTGGAGCGAATTGGAATGAAAATTAGTTAAATTTCTATCTCTGAGCTGCACTTGTATCCTCCTCAATCCACATATGTTGGGTGGTGTGAGATGAAAATTAGTTAATTTTTTCACCAATCCACTTCAGTACATGGAGATTGAAATAGATACAAGTGAAAGGCCTCAATCCATTTTAGTACACGTGACGTGAATTTGAGGTGGATAAAAGTGTAACCAGATAAGGCATGCTCAATTGGAGTCTTTTTGGTGGTAGCATCCCAAAACAGGACAGGATGCCTCAACAGGAACTTGCTCTTTGGCTTTTGGTGTTGTGGCTCCTTGGCTCTGTATTGTGCTGTGGCCCCATTAAATTATTAAGTAGGTACTGGAACAGAGAATGTCAGGACCAAAGTTAAGATAAGCTTTTCTTTGGTGGTGAAAGAAGATGCGTCTGCACCAGTATGGCTAGTAGGTTAGGCATCCTCATCCATCCCCACTTTGGGTGGCTACCATACCAATCACAAGTATTCTATAAATATGCGCAAGTAGCAAGCAAGCAGTTGGCAGCAAAATAATCCACCTCTCTGAAACCCACAACCAAGAGTCCAACACGGAGCACAGAGGGAGCAAAGGTGCCTAAAAGCCTGTAAGATTGCGAGGGCATGGAGCTCGCGATGGCTGCGCTGAGCAGCCTCCTCCCCAAGCTGGGCTCCCTTCTCCTCGACGAGTACAAGCTACACACGGCGGTGCGGGGGGAGATCAGGTTCCTGCAGGCAGAAATGGAGAGCATGCAGGCCGCCCTGTACATGGTGTCCAACAAGCTGCCGGCTCACCACACCGACGATCATCTTGTCAAGATCTGGGCAAGGGACCTGAAGGAGCTGTGCTACGACATCGAGGACAGCGTCGACGCCTTCGCCTTCACAGTGCGGCTCGGCTTTCCTGGGTCTGGGTGTGCCACTGCCACTGCCACTGCCAAGAAGCAGCATGGTTTCAGTTTCAGAAGGTTTCTTGACAGGACCATGGGACTGCTAACTAAAGCCAAGATCCGACATCACATCGCCGAGGACATTCAGGACATTAGGAGGCGCGTCCAGGAGATCGCCGACAGGCGCGAGAGGTACAGGCTTGGCGATTCTGCGACGCAGCCTGCAGATACATCAACGGCCATCGATCCTCGCCTGCCGGCAATCTTTGAAGACGCAGCCGTGCTTGTCGGCACCGAAGGCCCCGCAGAGAAGATCTGCAGCTTGCTCACGCGGGGGCAGAAGGGTGCGCAGAAGAAGCTGATGGTTGTCTCCATAGTTGGAGTTGGAGGCCTGGGTAAAACAACCATAGCCAGTTTGGTGTACAAGAAGCTTGGTGACCAGTTTCAGTGCAAAGCTTTCGTCTCTGTGTCGGTCAGGCCCAACATGAAGCAGATTCTCAGCAGCATACTACGGCAAGTTAGCAGAGATGCGTGCTCTAATGCGGGAGAGAAGGACCCTGAGGAACTTATTATGAATATCAGAGAATTCATCATGGACAAGAGGTATATATGCGCCATATGTGAAATTATGATTTCTCTGATAATAGAACATGACTAGCTTAGCCACAAGATCACTAGCCTAATTAACATGAACACTAAACAAATTAGGTGGATTGATGTAACAAACAAGACGACACAGTTAGTTGCCTCCCTTTCCCCATCCTAGCATCAAGTGTCCCCTTGATTTAGGCCCTGTTTGGTACAGTTCTTGCGTCATTGGTATAGTTTCTTTTGCATATAATCCCTATTTTTAGTGGGTGCTATATAACGCTATAATCCCTATGTTTTCACTGGCAGAGTTGTCTTTTTTTTTTTGTGCATATAATCCCTATGTTTGAGCATATAATTATAATCCCTATTTTTTGTGTGCTATATAACGCTACCGCTATCATGCCCCTAGTAAATCGATCTTACTTCTTACTGGTTCATCGTATTTTAGCTCTATTAGTATTGTGGGCTTGCATTCACTTTTAAGTTTTATTACCAAACATGCAACTGATGCTCTTGGAAAACCGTAGGTACTTGATCATAATCGATGATGTATGGAATGAAAAAGCATGGAACACCATCAAATGTGCTCTGATTGACCAGGATAAAGGTAGCAGAGTGATTATGACAACACGTAACATCAACGTGGCTAATTTGTCTTCTGTGGATGGGGCAATATATGAACTGGACCCTCTCTCTTACAAGGACTCCAAAAGGCTGCTTTATAAGAGGATATTTAATGAGGAAAAGGAAATTCATTATGAACTAGAGGATGTAACAGAAAAGATTTTGAAGAAATGTGGTGGAATACCACTAGCTATCGTTACTATAGCTAGTTTGCTGGCTAGCATACCAAACAAAGTAAAGTATGAATGGTATGGTGTCTACAATTCAATGGGTTCTGGACTTGAGAAGGACAAGAGTCTTGAGAACATGCGAGAGATATTGTATCTTAGCTACAGTGATTTGCCTTCTCATCTAAAGCCTTGCTTACTGTATTTGAGCATGTTTCCCGAGGATCATGATATTTGCAGAGATGAGTTGGTAAGGCTTTGGGTAGCAGAAGGTTTTATTGATGGGAAACAGGGTAGCAATCTCTATGACCTTGGAGTGAGGTATTTCAATGAGCTTGTCAACAGAAGCATGATTCAGCCGGTTGACATGGATGAACAAGGCAGCGCGAGATTTTGTCGAGTACATGATATGATACTTGATCTCATCATTTCTCTTTCAACTCGAGAGAATTTTGTCACTATATTAGAAGGTTCATGCCTCGTACCTCCAGAGTTAAAGATTCGAAGATCTTCACTGCAAGGCAAGGTACTTGGCGACCAAACAGAAATCAAGGAAGAACAAATGATGATACTGCCAGCAACAGTAAACATGTCCCATGCCAGGTCACTCGTTGTTTTTGGCGATGCGGTTCAGTGGATGCCACCTCTGTCAAGGTTTTCAGTTCTTCGTGTTTTATCTTTGATGGGTGTTCCTGGCAGTGTTAATCATCATCTTGAGGATCTAGAGAGGTTGCACAACTTGAGATATCTACAGTTAGGTGGCCAGCTTGAAACAGGGGTTCTACAAGGGATTGGAAAGCTAAAGCTTCTAAAGACATTGGATGTGTGGGCTACGTCTATTGGACAACTCCCAGCAAGTATTGTTGAGCTAGGACAGCTTGAACGTCTGTTAATGTACAAGGGATTGAAACTTCCTGATGGGATTGGAAATCTAACTTCCCTGCAAGAGCTGTCGGTGCTCGACGCGGACAAATCACCACACACTCTAGCTGAGCTAGGTAAGCTTACTGAACTACGGGTGCTGACCATATATGGATTAGGAGGAAATGAGAGTAGTTCTAGGGAGATCATTTTGCAGAGTTTGTCTAACCTAGGCAACCTTCGGATTCTACAATTTGAAGATGAAGAAGGGCAATATTCCCTAGATCTAGATGGCATGTCGCATCAATGGAGGGCCCCTGCACATCTCCAATGCTTCAAAGGAGGCTATGTGGTCATGTCTCAGTTGCCACAGTGGTTTTCTTCCCTATCTGAACTCTCTTGTCTATCCATCAAGGTGAAGGTTCTAAGGCAGGCTGACCTCCGACTGCTTGGAGCTTTGCCCATGCTACGCTTCCTTGAGCTACTAGGTTTTTATGGTACCGCCAGTGAAGAGCTGGTGGTTGGTGCTGATCAGCCCTTCCGCTCTCTAGTAGAGTTCAAGTTTGCGCACTATACAAGAGACTGGCTGGTGTTCACACAAGGCGTGATGCCCAAACTTCAAAGGCTCAAGTTATTCTGTAGCGCACGGAGCAGATATGCTGGTGGTTTTGATATTGGCCTGGAGAATCTGGCTTGCCTGAAACATGTCGCTGTCAAGGTTATCTATAGAGGTGCTCAGATCTGGCACACAGATATTGTGGAACACATGATCACGGTTGCAATTAAGCTGCACCCCAACAATCCAACTTTTGAGCTATCAAGAGTGCATCAGTATAATAATAACGTCAAGTGAGGATCATATTCTAGTTCTTTAAACCAAATAATCTTTTTCTTGATCTTGAATTCTGCACCGATGTAGTGAGAATCCATATATCTGATGTCAAGCAAACACATGAGAATCCAAATTCTGAAGTTCATTCAATATTAAGCTCTTTCTTTAGGTCCTCAAATTTCTTGAAGCAATCATTGTGATTGTTTGTCGATCCTTGACTATGAAAGTTGGTTGCATTGTGTTAATCCATGGCTGCAAGTAAGGGTCTTCAAACTTAAGATATGGGATCTCAGCATGAATGATATACTTGATCATCTCTTGATGAGGACGGAGGCGGTGATCAAAGACAAACAAATTTCCTCCAATCCAAGGCCCAAAAGTTATCGGCCATGTTCTCGGAGAGGAAAGAGCCCTGAGCTGAGCACCTCCACCCTCCCTCCTCCGGCAACCACTCCGGGCCCGGCGGCCAGGCTCGGCGCTAGCTCCACTGCTCCCCCTCGGCTCTACTTCCCGGCATGCCCTCTGTTTCGCCATCAGCTCCTTTGAAATCTGTTTCCATTTCTTCCATGCTCTCTGCTATTCTGTTCTTCTCTCTCACCGCAGCTCCGCGTCTGTTGACTTCAGTGGGAGCGGGGCATCCATGGACATTGTGGTGTCCAGCGTCAGAGCTTACCTGAGCGCCCTGAACAAGATTTGCAGTTTTGCTGGCGCCGTGAAAGCCAGCAGCGAGGTACCTGAGACCGCAAGCGTTCCGAGCACAGAATGAGCTTGGTCGCGTTCCTTTTGTTCAAGATTTCTGGAAAGATCGGCCCTTCAGCTTAGGACAGGCAGGAAGTCTTGGGCCTATGTAGTGTACAATTTCTGTATCTCATATACCATACCATACTCGTGGCCAATTTGTACCATATATAAACCATAGAATTTGTAATTCGGAAGCGCAGGCCACTTAGAACTCTGTGGCTAAAGAAAGATGAGGTTCGTTGGAAAGCTATGACTGAGAGTACTGTTCGCTTATGTGTTGTGAGAGAAAAACACTATTCGTTGGCTAAAAAAGTACGGCTGTAAACAGTGGTCACTGAAAATATGAGCAGTTAATAAAGGATGCCCAAAGATGTACAGCTTGAATATAGTATTTGTGAAGCCGTGTGTTTTTTCCAAGCACACAAAAGAAGCTATAGCAGTGAGGTATCGGTGAACTTGGTGTTCCAGCGGATTAACGCTGGTGTTTTCCTTTCTTCCTCGTGAAGGTTGCACATTTCCTTTTTTTACGAGGATTGTCCCACTAGAATATTTAGCTCAGCTAGTGTTTGGTTCCATATGGACATGATAGCATTAGCTCAGAGTAGTGCTTATGCTCATTGCCCCTATTTGTGCTAAACACAGAAGCTGGATCAACTCCGCTTCTCCTAACACGCCTTCTCTTCGTTTGTACAGCTCCTCGACGTTTCTACCACACCACTCTACCAATCTGCAACTTATAAACCATACTTCGAATAAGCGTGGAGTGATGCACTTTTCTCTATTGCTGTTTTTTTTTCTCTTTTCTTTTTCCTTTCCTTTTTTTTTTTCATATTTACATACCTATTTCTCTTGTGTATAATTGGAATGAAATTTTTAAGTTGAGAAGTTTCTCTGAAACAAATTATGTTAAAAAAAATTGCTGAATAAGTTATTTATAATTTTTGAATGACAAAACAAAACTTATGTGTATCCGTTATGTTATTCATAAATTTATTACATAAAATTTGCGCTAGAAAAGGTTTTCTGAGAAATTGTTATACTTTCTTTTTTTTTGTTCTTCTTTTTTCCTTTGCTTCTTTGTTTTTTAAATATTAATCTACACATTTTTCTTATATATACTTGAACAAATTTTTTAGGCTAAGAAGTTTGTCTGGAATTAATATTATATTAAAAATTGTACTAAATAAGCTGTGTATGCATTTTTCCAAAGACATTGAACAACAAAACTTATGTGTGTAAGTTTTTGGTGAAAAATTGTACGATGAAAGAAATTGTTAATAAGTTTTGTCATTCATAAAATTTATTATACAAGAGTTGTGTTAGAAAAGTTTTTGGTGAAAAATTGCTATGATGAAAGTTTGCACACTGATAATTATATGAAGAAAAGTTGGGTTGTAAAAGCCACGTAGAAAAGTTGTCATCATAAGTTGGCTAAAAACTATATGAAAAAAAAAGTTATAATGAGAAGTTAGTACGCACAAAAGACAAAAGCTACGAGCATAATATTGTAGCTTTGTAAAAATAGAAAGTTGTGGAAGCAAAAATGCTCTCTCCATTTTCGATCGTAAGTTATCCTATCTCTCTAGATACACTGTAAAAATAAGGTATTTAGAAAAGTCACAATGACTTGCAATTGGCGATTCTGGTGTTGTGGAGCTGGTCAAGATGATTCGTTGGTCGTGGAGCTGGCCAAGATGATTCGTTGGTTTTGGCGATTGTTTGCTCAGCAGTGGAGCCGGACAAGGGCAATATGTGCGCGCGTGAAGGAGAGCATTTGATGGCAAAGTAAGGAAAGGCAAAGTGGGAAAGGCCAGGGACGACGCGTGGATCGGAGGCAAATAGCCATGCATAGACAAATCACATGGTATCGTATCGGCATGGGGCAACAGCATCAGATCGCTTGCGGCTGCTGGGATTGGGAACAGCGCGAATCGCTGCTGCGAGGCCTGTGCTGTGCTGGTGGGGATCTCACCTCGCATGGGTATCGTATCGCCTCGATTTGGGTTTCCGCGCCTGCTACCTCACTTTTCCTACGTATGTCCCTTCTTCCATTTGGATTTGGGCCATTTCCATACCCCACCCAGCATCTTCTCGATCGCCCGGAGATATATATATATATATATATATATATATATATATATATATATATATATATATAAAGGTTATTCTGGCCATATAATAACTTATTCTATAGTCACCTTGATTTACGATAATGTTTGTACCAATTTACGATAATATGAATATGTATTTACGATACTCGTGTTACTACAACTCACGGTGATATTTACTATAATATTATAGTAAATCACTTTTATATATATATATAGAGAGAGACACACACGGGTGCCCATCCGGACCAGCCCAGGTGCCACGGCTTCGGAAGGCAGTAATTGCCGAGCAAGCCGACCAAAAAGTAGTAACATTAGAATTCGAGCCAGCCGATAGAACATGAGCCGACAGCATCAATGCGGCAAAGACGTGAATAAATGACCCACTGTGTTCGGCTGTTGCACTGCCCAATAAATTATGAATGGTTTTGGATGATTCAATACTATTCTGTAAGAAAGAATAAGCTCAAATAAGCAGAAACAAGTCAGCATTGAACTAGTCGAACGCGGTATCCATCATGTTCGGCTGGTCCAGTGTTGGCTTGTTTCAGCTTGTACTATTGTATACGAGAAAGGGTGCCAGCGAGTATATACGACATGTGTGGTAACTCGTAATATTGTATACGAGAAAGGGTGCAGGCGATACACATACAAGCTATGTACGGAGTATATACGAGATGTGTGGTAACTCTAATATTGTATATGAGAAAGGGTGCCGTCGATACCAAGTATAAAAAAATTCTAGTAACCAATAACAAAAATCTATACTAAGTATAAAAAAAAATCTAGTAACCAGTAACAAAAATATACTGTATGTAGTAAGCATGAACCAATAAGCAGTGGCTGTATCGTGTAGATCTCGCGCAGTTAGCGCCTGCAGTTCACAATACGTCATTTACGCAAAAGGCACTAGTGCAGCGGCCACTCCGGCATTTTATTCTCTTTGTGCAATATTATTGGTGCTAACTTTTTGCGTGTCTGGGCCTGCTTGGTTACTGCAGTGTCTCATAAAATTCCTATTACATTGAATGTTTGACACATGCATGTAGTATTAAATATAGACTAATTACGAAACTAATTGTACAACTTGCAACTAATTTGCGAGACGAATCTTTTAAGCCTAATTAGTTCATGATTTGACAACGTGGTGCTACAGTAAACACGTGCTAAAGACAGATTAATTAGACTTAAAAAAATCATCTCATAAATTAGCCTCCATCTATGTAATGGTTTTGTAATTAATCTATATTTAATGCTCCTTATTAGTATTTAAACATTCAATGTGATATGAATTTTATGAGCGACTAAAGAAACAAACATCCTCTAAATGCTGCTGCAATTGGACGGGGCATGACTAGTCCATCATTCTATTTTCAGTGCTGACGATTCAGGTTCCACGAGTCTCGTAATGCCGCCGACCCATGGATCACCCGCTCCGTCGTCCTCTGCGGCGGAGAGGCATCGACGTCGTCTGTGCTGACTCCAGTTCAGCCTGTGGCGCCGGCGTCGGTGCCGGTAGCAAATCCTGCAAGCCTTGCTGAAGTGACTCCGCTACGGACTGTCTCTCCAACGACGATGGTGACGCCTGATCAGCAGAAGACGTACATGCATGTGAGTTAACTTGTATTAGCGTTATTCAAAATACTGGCCTCTATGGTTTAACTTGTAACTTGTTGTTCAATGTCAATCAGGATCCCTTGTTGATAGAAGAAATTGTGCCCAATGAAGAGCTGCGTTTTGAGAGCAGAGATGAAGCAGAGGAGTTTTACAAGTTCTATGCGAGTAAGGCAGGATTCGACGTGCGCATAACCAAGACTAGGAAGACAGTTTTGGAGATGAGTTGCAATAAACAAGGGCATTGGGATTATTATAAGCCCGGTGAGGAGAGAGTTGGAGAGAAAATGTCAATGAGGTGTGAATGTAAGGCATTTGTGAAGGCTAAATGGAACCAGAAGAAGAGATATTGGTTTTTTGAGAGGGTACGGTTGGAACACACTCACCCATTGCATCCATCGCCGAGCTTAACACAATATATGAAGTCACACAAAAACCAGGACCCGACAATCATGGGATTGTTGATCAGATGCATAGGTGTGATGTTCCCCTGAACGCAACAATAAATGTGTTGTCAGACATATATGGCGGTCACCAAAACTTCACATTCACTGAGAGGGACCTGAAAAATAGGTAATGTATACAGTAATGTATAACCAAATGTGTCAGATGAAATAAGAGGACCTAAAGTTCCTGCGGTCGATGAAGTAGTGGCAAATGATACTGAAGAGGATCCTCATTCTCCTGCAATTGGAAAAGACACACTAATTTTGGAATGTGCGCCGAAGGGTGCTAGTACAAAGGGGAGGAAGCGCAAAGGGAAACAGATAGTCCGAGTTCAGACTTCTAACAAGAAAGCAGTGGGGGTACGGAATTGTGGCCATTGTGGATTGAAAGGTCATTATAGTACAAGTTGTGAATTAAACCCAGACAATGAATGGAAGAAAAGTGGTTCCAGTGGGAGTTTGCGTGGCAAGATGGGGAAGAAGAGGGGGAGACCACCCACAAAAAGGCAACTAGAGGAGGAGTTTGATGATGTTGCATGAGGCGGATAGATGAAATGGAAAGAATAATAGTGAGGACAACTTCAGCTTGAGATAACACCAGACAAGTAGTGGTAACATTAATGATACTCTGGACTCGTGGTTGCAATTATCTAGTGAGGTCTGATGTACTTCTACCAGAACCCAGCATTGGTTACTGGAATATATGGCTTACGAGAAGAAAAATTCAATAATGGCTATAAGCGCAAAACCAGTATAGTAGAGACGTAGGTTACAATAGACAACTGCTTTCATACTAGATTTGCGTAACAGATATAACGATTTACTCAAATTTGGTTGAACCATATACAATGACCATAAGTCAAAAATAAGCATTTGTTTGGTTTGTTAGATGGCAGGGGATAGGTTTGGACGAACCTGGTTTGTGAGGTGTTTGGATCTGAGACTTGAAAAATAGAGTGCTTGTAGATGAGCATATTCTCCGTAAATGTAGGTCAAATCCATCCTTGGAAACGAAGAAATCGATCCATCCCTTTTCAACAGAGTTCCCTTCCATCTTCGGCTCACTCGTCTTCCTCTCGCTGCATGCCGTGCCCGGGCTCGGCCCCTCCAGCCATTTTAGGCTAGGCAACCCATGATTGAGCTGCTGTCGTCCCTTCCTGTAGGGATGTGGTAGGGCCGCGGAGAGCGGGAGCGAAGCGGTGAGTGTGCGGCGGCGCGTGCGGAGGAAGATGAGTGTCGTGCGGGGGAAAAAATGGCCATGCCTGATAGATAAGACCGTGCGTGAGTGCCAGAAAAAAAGAGAGAGAAAATAAAGGTCATCCCAAATGACACATGGGCCATGGATGGCAAGTGGGCCCAATGACTGTTGTTAACGGTGGGACTTGCTAGAATGTGAAGGCAGCATTCATAATTTTGGGTAAGGGTACAAAGTAACCGAAAGTCCTTGTCAAAAAAAAGTTACCGAAAGTCAACGAAGAATGCGTAAGTTATATAATGATTTATTTACTATCGTAGTAAGTAGGCATTACGATATGTCAAAAAATTTGGTAAGCAAACAGAGGAGGAAGGCCATACATAATTACCATGGGTCAACTAAGATTAGTGGAAGACATACTAGAAGGAAAACTTACGATAATTCAATTATCCCTAGAAGAGTAAATTACTATAGTATAGATGTAGTTATATATTATATAATGATTTACTAGAATACCGAGGCATCATTCATAATTTTGGTTGACCATACTTACGTAAGTTAACAAAGATAAATGAAAGTTTGATATATACGGACTAATAGAAGGGAAAATTACGAGAACCCAAGATTGTATAAGATAATTTGGACAATGGTAAAAAAAATTATGAACCCAAGATAACTTATATTGATACGATGATGTTTTGAAGAAAGAAAATTGTATCCATGATAATTAAAATTACAGCAAGGAGGACATTGTGTCCGTATTTATTTTGTCACTACTAGGCAACCATAACGATTGATCACAAGCGAGGCCGGTTTGCTTCTAGCCCAGCAGGAAGCTTTATAATCTCATTGATTGGGTGGTAAATGCCGTAGAAGAAAACGGAGTTGAATATAGAGGGTGCACATCGGACTGTTGGTCCATGAGGATATTTGACTACAATCTTGTCATGCTGTAAAATGAAGAGGGGTAGTTGATCAAATGCATGAAAATACGAGTTAGTTCAAGAAATATCAGTGAGAAAGGACCGAGTCTGAATTCTAACAGCAGGAATTTTTGCATGACAATTGAATAACAACACTAGAAGGGGCGGGCGTTTCCTTGAGTGTTCCCTGCCTGCGTGCATTGGCTGGGACATTTGTATTGATACGTTGTTTCTTGATGACGGGGCGCCTATTCGGGAGGTCCATGAAATCATCGTCGTCGTCGTCATCAACATCTTGCGTGCGAGGGCGTGCCGATGGCCCTGGACATTGTGGTTGTTGTGCATGAGCTACACCAGAGATTGCACTTATCTCAATGTTGACATCCTGTTGTGTGGTGTGTAAGGTGAATGATTTCAATCTCCCCTGTATTGGCAGAGGAGGCCTCATTTTCTAGGAAAAAGAGAATAGAATAGTAAATTTACTAAAATATTGCTATAAGAGTAAACTTGCTGAGGCCCCGTTTAGATTCCAAAAATTTTTGCGCAGTGCCCGTCATATCGAATCTTGCGGCACATGCATGGAGTACTAAATGTAGACGAAAAAAAACTAATTGCACAGTTGGGTGAGAAATCGCGAGACGAAACTTTTGAACCTAATTAGTCCATAATTAGACACTAATTGCCAAATACAAACGAAAGTGATACAGTAGCCAAAATCTAAAAAAAATTTGGATCTAAACGGGCCTAAAATAGAGATGTAGGTTACGATATAAGTCAGACATTAGTTTTCGTGCTATAATTGTGTAACATGAATAGAAGGATTTACTAGAATAGGGAGTACCATTCAACAATTTGGTTAACCATATATACGGTTACCATAAGTCAACCAAGATTACGGGAAGATTTATATAAGACTTACTAGAAGGCAAACTTACTAGAATTCAATGATCGCTATAAGTGTAAATTACTACATTTGTTTGCACACTAGAATATTGTAACATTAACATAAAGATTTACTAGAATAGGGAGGCGTCATTCATGAAATTGATTAATCATACAGAGTTACTGTAAAGATTAATTTATAAAACTTACTAGAACGAAGAATTACGAGAATTGGACGATGGTTGTAATAGTAAATTACTATAGTAGCTTACTAGCTTATGATATAACTGAGTCACATATTTGATAGCGTAAGAAATAGAACTTTAGACTGATTTAGAAAATAAAAAATATGATAAATAATTAACAAGAAACATGTAGCTTATTAAAAAATGTTTCTAGGTTATAATATGATTAAAAATACAGTATAAAATACTACTAAATCCCAGAGGAAACTTAAACAGTGGTACATATAATAGAAAAAAATATCTTGATAAACTAACAACTGTAGTATTCAGAAAGACCGAACTTAATTAACACATGGAAACAATAAAACAAAGCAAGTATTCTCAGAGATGGTCACGCCTGACTAGATCAAGAAAAAAACAAAAAAAAGGTGTACAGTGAAACTACAGGAACATTGAAAGAGAATCGGATTTAAAAAAACTGTGATGGTCAGGTGCTACCAGTTGAATGGGAATTGAGCGGGGATGGATGAGATGCAGTAATCAAATAAACTGTGATTTAAAGGGGATTTAACAGGGATGGATGAGATGCAGGCACGAAAGACCTCAGGGATTGGCTCAGCGCTGGAGACTACCTTGGCAATCTGGATGGAGATGGTTGGGTCGCCGCTGCACTGCACAGTACGCTTGCGCCGGCTGCATGTAACTCGATTGGGTCCAGCGAGGTGTTTTTGTAGCTGGTTCTATGCGGGACATAATACCCGGACGTAATTTTGGGGATCTTCGTTCAGCTCTTCTTTTCAATGGAAAGGATTCGGGGACGGTGAATGGTCGAGATGACGACTAGAGGGTGATGAATAGTTATTTCTAAAACTTAATCGCGTCGGCTAACCAAAACAAGTGTGAAATTAAAATTATCGGTCTAGCCAAGACTACACCCCTCTATCTATGTTTTCTAGCACCTTGCAAAGATCCTAATTAAGCAACAAAGGTGCCGGGCTAACTAGAGCTCACCTAACCAATTTTAGGAGCAAGGTCACACAAACCTATGCCACTAGTATTTCAAGCAATGAGGGAGCTCCTACACATGCTAGTAAGCAAAAGCACAAATCCAACTAAACTCACTAGCAATGCTCAATAACAAGGCAATCAATGTCAAATTAGAAAGCGCAAATACTTAGCTACACAAACTAAGCAAAGTGACTAAAAAGGTTACACCAACCAAATTAGCCACGCAAGGGAGCTACTTCTATGCTACACAAGCAAGAAGATAACTAATGAGCTACACAAGCTAACTAATTACAAGAGCAACTACATAAGCACAATGTATATAAAAGTAATCACAAGCTTGTGTAAGGGGATTGCAAACCAACGGGAAGAACAAGGTTGACACGGTGATTTTCTCCCGACGTTCATGTGCTTGCCAACACGCTACGTCCCCGTTGTGTCGATCGCTCACTTAGTGGTTCGGCGGCTATTTGTCATCACCCGCCAAGCCCGCATGTTGGGCACCGCAAGAACCTACCCCGAAAGTGAGGGTAGCTCAATGACACGCTCAACTATAGTTGCTCTTCGTGGCTCCCACGGGGTGAGCACAATGCCCCTCACAAAGCTCTTCTCCGGAGCACCACACAAGCTTCTTGTCGGCTTCGACGGAGATCACCACCAAGCCATCTAGGAGGTGGCAACCTCTAAGAGTAACAAGCACCACCGGCTTGCAACTCAATCACCTAGTGCCACTCGATGCAATCTCACAATGCATCGCACTAGAATCACACTCACTCGCAATCGATTCGCACTCTTGCAGGCACAAGTGAGTTAGAGGGCATCCAAGCACTCCTACACAAGCCACATAGGCATGAGGGTGCTAAGCAACCAGCCCAAGGCCGGCCACACACTCCTTTTATAGCCCCAAGGGCTAAAATAGCCGTTACCCCTTCACTGGGCAAAGCGCCTACTGATCGGACGTGTAGGTCATAATGACCGGACGCTGAAACCCAGCGTCCGGTCACTTACATAGAGGTTCCAGCGACGTTTTTAGCGACCGGATGCGTCCGGTCATCACTGATCGGACTCTCCCAGCGTCCGGTAGCTTCTAGACACGCTAAAAACACTGACCGGACGCTGTGACCGGACTCGCAGGTGCTGACCGGACGCTGGACCCCAGCGTCCGTCGTTTTTCACGTCAGCGTCCGGTCACAGACCTTTCAGCGCTAAAACGGATATAACTCTTAGCTTCAAACTCCGATTTTGATGATCTTGGACATTTTGGAAAGCTTACTCAGAGGGCTACACATCCCACATGCATACTTGATCCAAATCACAATGGATCAAAATAGTATTCCAATCAAGGACCAT